TAAACTAACGCACCAGGGTCATGAAAAATCCATCGCACACAGGGTACAGACAGAGTTGGACAAAGAAATGCTCGATATTTTGAATAATGTAGCTATGGACCCTAATGAAAAAGCTAAACACTATGCTCACATTCTACAACGTTTTCTTACGCTGGTGAGAAAAGAGGAGAGTGAAAAATCTGTTTTAACATTAAACATGCCCATCTCAACTGAAGAACCAGAGGTTAACACAGACGTGATAGCAGCAGAGGTTATGAGACATATTCCACGAAATAGTCATAAAAACGCCAAGTTAATATTGGAGATGTTGTCAAAGACACCCCGGGTGGTTACTTGGAATGGAGATGGTGAAGTTGCGATTAACGGTAGTGTTGTAAAGGGCTCTCATGTTTATGACCTCATTAAGAATGTCACAACTAGTCATAATATACTAGAAATTTCAAGACCTATTGGATGGTCTTTGTTTTTAAAAACACTAGCCGAAATGAATATCCCCCAATCTGCCATTCCTAACACTATGGTTCGTAGAACTATTAATGAGTTTAAAAATATCCCTCCTTCTGATGCTTATGGGACGCCCTTAGTTAGTGCTAAACGTAAAAGATCACGTAAATTCATCACTCCTTTAGTTACCAAGAGTGGAGCAAGTTGGTTAAGTTTTTAAATCTTTATGATTGAAATGTTTTTCAAGTGTGTTTATCATTCTGTATGATAAAATGTATCACTTATTATGAAATGTTTTTCACATGTGTTTATCATTCTGTATGACAAAAATGTATCACTTATTCTGCATGGAAAATAAAACTTATACTTAAATTCTCAATGATTTTTATTATGCACTACACATTGTACACAGTCGAAATCAGTTTCACTACATATGGCCACAGGTTGTATAGCATTAACAAAATGACATACCAAGGAATCGTTACAAGCCAAGTTGGAATCATACACACGGATAAACTCTTTATAACTTGAACCTTTTAACATGTGGCATAGAAAAAATACACAATGTTGTCCACATGTTACAGAAAGATGACTCTGTACCTGTTTTATGGAATGGTAAAAACCTTCACTATTCTCCCTCATAAATCTATTAATACTATTTGGAAAACTTTTATAAGCTGGTCCGTTGCCGAAGCTGTCAAAGAAGTATCCGCACCTATCTTTAGAAAAGTATGCCGCTACCCAGTGTTCTCCAGGAAGGGTGGCGGGATGTGTGTTAATGATGGCACACGCTGGATAACGTTTTATGACACTTGGTAAACGGTCTGAGGGGAAAACACCTAGGAAACCAGTGCCTTTTTTGACACACAGCTTCATGATGCTCGTTAACTCTATAGTATTCATTAGTACGGCATCTAATAATAGTCTAAAAGCACTTGTCTTCTGTTTGAAATCTCAATAATGGAATCAAAAACTGCATAGCAGATCAAATTAACGGTACGTGCTAGCGGTGTCCTAAACCTAGCTTCTAAACGTACGTTACCGGATTTAACTAGTGAGATATTACCACCATGGCCTTCATCGGCCTCTAAATTAAAACAGAACAGAGTGTAACCATCTGCAAAATCGTCTCGATCTATCGCAAGAGACCTGTCTTTTAAATGGCGACCCGTTGTTTGCACCAGCTGGTAATATTCACGTACATACTGCCCTCTATTAAATACTGGTTGAAAAGGCTTAGATGGGTAGGATTGACCGTCTACGTATAAACTCATAAATTCAGTATCAAAATGTTGGAAATGATAAGGATTACGTGTATAGCTCCCCGTGTACGCCTCGTTGTCAATAAAACCCACAATTAAGAATTTAGGTATTTTACCTAAATATAGATTGTCTTGGTTACAAACTCTAGTACCACTAGGTATTGAAAATGTTTTTAAAGCAACACGATCAATAGCATATTTCGCATTGGTATGCTGCAAGGCCCTGCTGTGCCCTAGTCTCACCATAGGGGCTACAGCGACTTTTTTAATAAAAATCGATGCTGAAACTATTTTCACACGATACTTGGGATCATTAGCTCCAGACATCAGTACAAATTCATCTTTAGACCGCATAAATTTCAATGACATGTCTACACCGTTTAAAATGAGTTTTTCTTGAAAAAATATATCCGAATGTATAGGACCGATCAATTCTACAATACGACCATTGTCTGTAAATGTACCTCTCTTATTTAAACCTAGGTTATTACCGGCTATACTAGCAGCATTCATATGCCCTGTAGTGTCTTTACAAAACAAGGCTGTACCAAATTGAGTGTCTAATGTATCCTTACTGTAATTAACCAAACATTCTAGAATCCCTCTATAAGGATAAGTGTTAGATGACTGAGTAATTAATTTATCACCCAGCATGATATCCACTTGCGAAAACAGTGATGTAGTAGGATAATTTACAAAACCCACGTCGGCCCCCACTGCTATAGGTGTACCATCAGCATTTAAAAGTTTTGTCCTTAGAAATATATACGAGTCATTCAAGTCTATATAATCTTCACCGCTCCCTGTTATGTGGAATTCAATAGGTCCGGTGTCAGTTATAGCAGAGATTGGTGGGATTTCTATGAATGTACTCTTTTCAATAGAGGTTTGGGTGATTGGGAGAGTAAAGAGGTCCAACTCCGTCTTGACGCATTCCTTAGAGTCGCTGTGTAACAAGGCCATATTTAAAATATATCACGCGACAGCTCCGTCAGCTTTGACTGCTTCCTCGGTCCGGCGTTTCGCTTGTGTCCTAATTTGCGTTTGCGACATTGTTTTACGTGGGCCGCTTTAGAAACCTGTGTCGTTAGCCTTCACACCAGGGGGGTGGGTTGCGCCCCCCTGAAACCATTTGGGAGGTCCCCTCCTGCCTGAGACAGGTAGTAAGCTATGTATTTAGACTCATCCGCTCTGTGTGGAATATAACCCATTTTTACGTCTAAAATGTAGTTTCAAAATTACTTTCCCGTATAAAAACGGAATATGCTTGTTTTGATCGTTTTTAAAAGATATTTCAATATCGTCTATGACTGATTTAGACACGGGTGTGTAATGAGGCTTATCATAGGTTACCGTTGGATATGATGCATTTTGATTTGTAATATTTATCACGCGTAGTATAGGGGCGTGGCTGTCACCCACCAGCTGATAGTCGACAATATCAGTGTATATAAAAAAATTATAACATCCTGCGTATATATCTGCTGGATACGGTGCAGCAAACGGGGTAATTTGGTCTTCGGGTATGTAGACACTCGCTTGATTTTCAAAACCCAAGATAATAGCTAATAACCCGTAAAATGTCAAGGTATGTCTGCTGCTTTCATGTATAGTGATTTTGTTGTTAATGTTGTTGTATTGTAAGTGAATATTCCCCGTTATCGCGTTAGTTGATAAAGCATAATTAATTTCCTTCACTATTCTGTCCATGGATTCATAAAACCCTACTGTAATATCTATAACGTCCGAGTTTCCTGTAGGTGTGATGACGATCATTTTTGCTGCTCTTTCATCGAAAGATTTCCAAATTCTAGGATATTGAACTTCGATTAAACCTACTTCATAAGGCTCTGTTAACAAGAGGGGTCGAGCAAGCTTGTTTCTAAATTTCCATATTTTGTTTTTTGGGTAAACCTCCATAGACGCATTGCTTGCGAGGGTAACATAAAATCCTTCATTATGATTCATTGGTTCTTATATATGTATAACCTCCTTAGCATTTATCCACGAGTTAAACTCCTTAGGCCAGCCAATCCAACTAACAAAATGCTGTTTAGTTTTGCCCACACGCTTTGTTTTTAAAATATCTTGAATTTTAAAAACTCTGTTATGTTCGATAATGACCCGTTGTAGTTCTGATTCATAAAAAGTCCCTTGTAATAGCGCCTCTGACAGGTCCTTCAATCTATAGACAGGTGGTGTTCGGCCTATGCGCTCAGCTATTGTGAAATATTCATCCGTGAAACTCTGTTCATAACCTTTACGAAAAATACCTTTCTTTTTAGATATTCGTACTGTGTCACCTAATGAATATTTAAAAAGTAGTTGCTTTGTCGGCTTCTTCTTGTATAATGCCTTAAAAACCTGTGTCTCATTATCTTTATTCACACTCACAGGCGTCATCTTGATACTTTGATGATATGCATGATTATAGCCATGGACAAGTTGATCCAACGCGTCTATGTAACGTCTCGAATTTACCGATGTTAAATATCTCACATTCGGGTTTGAAAGTACGGTTAAATCGTTCAACCACGCTGGCCTTTGTTTCATTAGCCGTGGAAAAATGTTTAATTTGATAGGCACTCAACACATTCTTGAAATGCTTATTATAAAATTCTTTTCCATGATCTGTTTGTAGTTTTCGAGGGGTCCGTCCTTCACTTAGAATTTGTTTAAACACTTCTGCCACTTCTGGACCCTTTTTCGATTTGAGACACTTCACCCACGCATATTTTGAAAATACATCTATACAAGTAAGTAAATACCGAACATTATCATTTTCATTGACATATTCTGTCATGTCTACTAAATCAGCCTGAAATTGATTGTCTATACCATTTACTAGCACTCTGTTAGTTGGAAAATTTATCCTAGGTGACGTATGGAGCGTATAAACGTCTTGTTTAAGTAGATAATTTTGGACTTGAGGTCTCGTAATATTAACCCCTTCCAATTCGTTAACCACCTTGTACAACTTATTAAAACCACCTAGACCCCCTGGGTGCTTAGGGTCATTGTATATTTTACTAAGAGTACCTTCCATGTTGAAGAACTTTGAGACACTGAGTTATAAAAGATGCTTTATTAGCTTTAAAAATTAAAAAAAATAAACAACACACGCACATACAGTGTCTCATCATGCGTTATTCCCTTCCCACACAGACAATGCCTCATCAAGAAAACTTTTCTCGTCAGTTAGTGAATCCGTCATATCTTGTATTACAACATTCAAATCGTCTTGCGTGAACACGTACAACAGCGCGTCAACCGCCCCCTTCAGACGTTGTCTAGGCAACACCACGCCTTGTGTTGCTAGGTAAGCTTCGACAGCTGGTATGAAACGTACATTCCACAATTCAGGAAGTCGTTTTTCACCCAAAGTATGGTAGAAATATTCGGGATATCTCTCCAAACAGCTGTGCTGGATCTGACTCGGGTGGTCAACCTCGCACCCATAGCACTCTGCCTTCCAACTCTTTATCATTTGAGCATCAATTAGTATAAAAGGATCTTCCGCAAATTCAATATGAAATGCTCTGATTCATCTGTGAAACCCTCTGTGGGCTCTGGCTCCTTCTCCGTGGGGGATTCAGGCTCCTTCTCCGCGGGGGGTTCTGGTTCCTTCTCTGCATTCTCGGGTGTCACTAAAAAAAAACATTCTGTTAGTAACAATATAGTGTTAAAATAATAATAATCACTTATACACACCATAAGCGACAGCATTGTCATCATTAAGGACCGGGGATTGTGGTAGTAGTGAGATTTCCAATTCATCCTCAGTCGCATCTGTTTCACTTCCATCTTTTAAAGAACATAGAGGGGTATTAATTAAAAATATACTGAATATCTTTAAATAACCATACCTGTTGACTGTGTGTTTTCATCACCCTCTGGGGCCGCATCCATGGTCGCCCTCCTGTGGAATATAAACATTATTACGTTGTATAGAAAATACAATAAATACGTTAGTAATACTTACCATAATCTCTTGTTGTTGTTGTATTCAGAGGGAACCGCATATTAGCTGTTTCAGTCTCAGCTTCCAGATATCGCAGTCTTTTTTTAACAGTTTCCAACTCCATGTAAAAGTAATCTTTCTGAATTGCTTTATCAATTTTGTTAAATATTCTAGATACTTCAGGCCAATCCTTGTACTGTACAGAAACAATATTCACCTGTTTTTTGGGTAAGACACCCGATGTAACACATTCAGCGTAATTATGTAATTTAATTTGCACAAGACCCTTGTTTTCTACGTCTGCAGGGTCATTCGTAACCACTAGCTCGTAATCACCCTTATTATCCTCTCTCCAAAAATGTCTATACTCTACATTTTTAACCATAGCCGTATTTATAGCGTTGGAGTGAGTCCTGAAATGGAACCAACTCGCTATCGACATGGCTTCCTCCCCAAAAATAACATACCCAGCTGCGTACGTATATGTATAAGACGCATCACTTCTCCCTCGGGTGTGACGGTGTACGGTTTCCGCTTAAGGCCTTTCGTTGTTAGGGAGCGCCTTTTCGATGACATCTGAGATCTATGCGGAGTTGTCATTATAGCTTTGTTGGAGAGGAAAAAAACAAGCTATTCTTGTGTGTGTAATCACAGGCCTATATAGGGCCTCCTTAAACAGAGCAACCTATCACAAACCCTCCTCAGTCTAATAGGTTGGTGCAAATAGACCTCCCACCATTCTGATTTGCTAGTACGACCTCCCAACCGCTCATCACTATCAGACACACACACACGTGTCGTTAACAGGGAGGACCTGTAGATTAATTAGTTTATTGACCTAACTGCTTGTTTTAGAATACACCGTGATCATAAAACACTTTAGACAACTGTGAAAGCATTATCACACACACACAGGCCAACAGAAGCTAACTCTTTGAAAAAACAAAGTGCCAGTAACACCTTTCACCACTTGCTCAAGAGCGCGCCGTCAATACTATCTACTAGCAGCCACTGCTGCTGCTGGTGCTGTTTCAGCTGCTGTTGATGGCGCTGATGACGATGTGGCAGCCACTGCTGCTGCTGGTGCTGTATCTGCTGCTTATGATGATGCTGGTGGAGGATTTGAACTCTTTCGGGCGGTGGAGGTGCAGAGACCTCTGGAGTCGGTGGAGATGGTCGTGGTGTCTGTGCAGGAAAAGCCTTTTGTTTCTTCCTCCCTTTCGACGGCTGCATGCGCTGCGCAGGCTGAGGTCTTAGGGCCGAAGCAAAGTTATCCATCAACACTTTTACTCCGTATTTGTTCAAATGTGGACCTTTTCCTTCAAAAAGCTCGGGCCTATTCCAGAACAGATTAAAGTTTTCTTTGAAGGCAATGTTCCTCTGCGTGAACATTCGTAGAAATTTATCTAGCTGGTACAGACAACTAAACTTCTCGATTTTTCCATCTGTATTTGGATGGGGTCCACTGATAAAAAATGTGTATGTCCATTTTTGTGAGGTCGTCCAGTAGCAGAATGAACTCCCTTCTCAGCTTCTCGCTCGTCTTCTCATAGATGTCTACCGCCCCCGTGTGGATCAAAAATGTACCCACATCACGGTTTTCTGCCAACACTTTTGGCAAAAGAGCCCTTATCTCAGAAACTTTCGCTGAGTGCACGGAGTAAGTCCGTGTAAAGTTCATGTTTACATTCCGTCCAGCGCCATCTCCACGCAGAAAACACTGAATTTGACAGCGGCTTTGCTGCTTCAAACAGAGCATAACGATTTGAAGTCTTCAAAAAATTTTCTTGTGGCAAAATTGCACTCCCTTTGTCTTTCTTAGCTTTGTCAACTTTGGGTTTAGCCCCGCATTTTTTTATAATGATTCTCTTTGTTGATTTTGGGAAAAGAAATTACGTCATCATTGTAACTTACATTTTCGACTGTCTGTCCACTTATCCCATTTTCACACATTGGAACAGTCCGGTTAACTCCTATTTCTGTTTCCAAAATATCGATCTGTTTTTGGAGAGATTTTAGTTGATTTTCCAGAGAACAGCAGCCATCACAGACTTTTCTCTGTTTCTTTCGTCCAGACATGACTAAAGTTGATAGATTCCACAAAGCTGAAGTCTGTAGAATGAGTAATCCGTGTTTTGTAGAGTAAAATGTAAATAAAATGATTAAAAGAGATTACAAAGCGAAGCAAGCGCTGAGCAGAAAGAGACACGTCTACACTCTACAAAGCAGGAAGCATTTTCTAGTGCTGCTGTGAGGCCCTGTTGCCCCGCGAGTCCAGCTTAAAGCTGCACTAACTGACTTTTTGTGGCAAAAGCTCCGTGCGGGGAAGGCGAGCAGAGAGAGCGAGCTCAGCGTTCTGATTCGAACGTTTCTCAAAGTCAGTTAGTACAGCTTTAATATGGCCATGCTTTCCTGTAGTAGTAGTAGTAATCTTTATTTATATACCGCCTTTTCACTGCACATCGGAGTCTCAAAGCGGTTTACAATTGTGATTTTTGGGATTGGGGGTGCCAGTACAGGAGGCACATGCCAGACCTATTGTACATATTTTTAGTGGTAGGGGAAACCGGAGCACCCGGAGGAAACCTACGCAGACACGGGGAGAACATGCAAACTCCACTCAGAAAGGCCCTGGTCCAACCGGGATTCAAACCCAGGACCTTCTTGCTGAGAGGCGAGAGTGCTATCCACTCAGCCGCCTGTCTCTTGGCCGCCCTCGTTGCTGGGGTCCGAGTATGTTGTAGCTTAATATTTATGTCTATGGACGTAGCTGGCTGTCGGTTTGGGTTTGTAAACCGTCACCCCTCAAGGTTGCGCGCTCAGCATTTGTTATGAAGTAGGTTATATCTGAAACGGGCTGAAAGCAGCATGACTGTGCCTTGCAGTAAGTATTCTTTAATCCATACGCTGGGGACTGGCCACATCCCGGGGGGTGTCTCTCGCCCGGAGTTTCTGTTTCTCCCAGGTGGGTGTGTTCACAGGACAGGAAGATGTGCTCTTGTGAAAATAAAAATCATAAAAATCTGGTTATTAGGGACCTGCACTAATGACCTGCACTAACTCATGCCTATGCCTCTAATTATGATTTAACAAACCTGTACGCCTTATTGCGTACAGGTATATTAATATTGTTTTGAAATAATATTATTATTTCAAATATTATTTTGAGCACGCAACCGCCTCGACTTGCCACACCGCCATAACCCCCTCCTGTTCCCCCAGGATCTCCGAGCTGGCATCTCACAGCGTGTCTGCTCTCCTTCACCTGCGTTTCCTGGACCTAAGTGGGAACCGTCTGTCTGTGCTTCACCCAGAGGCCCTCAGGATTCTAGACAGCCCTCTCCAGGAGTTGAACCTCAGCCATGCTCTGTTCGACCCTCGTGCACTGCCAGACCTCACCACAGCTCTGCGCTGGGGGGACCTCCGTGGCCTCCTGAAGCTGGATCTCTCTGGAAACAGCCTGTCTTTACTATCACCTGGGATGTTCACCCATCTGCCTAGTCTGCAGCAGCTGTTCCTCCACACGAATGCTCTATCCCTGGTCTATAGCGGGACCTTCTCCGGCCTGATCCATCTGAAGCTGCTGGATCTGAGGGAGAACCACTTCAAGTGCGTGTTACAAGCTTTTTTTTTCTTTTCTTCCAAGATTAAAATATGCGGAATACTATGCAGAATGTGGCAGTCACCCAGCTACTCGGCTGAAAAAACAGAATGAGATGACCCTGGTAGACCAGTGTTTGGATAACCACAGTAAAGTGGCCCGGCTTTTCACTTCCGCGTTAAAGTAGTCCGCACATTAAAAGCGGGTGGTCCATTTATGCTATTACTTACGGTAAACGTGAAAAGGAAAGCCGTGGGGATGAGCAACCGTTTCTTTTTTTTTTTCCCGAAAAAAAATCTAAATACGTTTTGCGACTACTTTCCCTGCAAACATATTCACTGTGATGCCCTCTACTACTGTGAAAAGTAACATTCACTTTTAGTGTAGAAATTCAACGAAAATTGGGCTCAAAGTGTGCACTATTGGTCCCAAATGCAATTTTTTTAAATTCATTTTTTTTAATCTAAAAGAGTTCTGAGACTACTTTCATTGCACACGTGTTCACTGTGATGCCCTCTACTACTGTGCAAAGTAACATTCGCTTTTACTGTAGAAATTCTACGAAAATTGGGGTCAAAGTGTGCAATATGGATCCAAAATTCATTTTACAGAATAAAGTTTTGGCATACAAAGCCATACATGGCTTGGCTCTTTCTTATCTTCAAGACATGTTGATGTCATATCAACCAAGCCAAGAACTGTGCTCGCAAAACGCCAGACGTCTGGTGGTTCCTAAGGTCTCAAAAAGCACTGTCGGTGGTAGAGCATTTGATAACAAGCTCCTTTACTGTGGAATCAGCTTCCCATTCACGTTAAGGAAGCAGTCACGTTCTCTACTGTACATTCAAGGCCAGGCTTAAAACACTCTTCTTCAATACAGTAATTAGGTTGTTTGTCAGGTCTTGGAGTCTGCTTGTATGGGACCCAGTCCGCTGCATCTTCAACCTACGTTCTAGGCTAGGCTAAAACAGTCCTCCTCAGTATAGCATATGCTAAGACTCAGGGAAGGCTAATAATCTTAATAATCTTAGACTATCAGTCAAGCTGCATAAGGAGTCAGTTTGCTGGGAGAAGTATGGTAAATTGAACACTATCCTATCCTCCTTCCTACTTTATCTGTCTGCATTATTGGGATTTTGACTGTAGTCTGTTCATTGCTATTCACCCGTTGTCCCATTGTCTGTTTTATGGTGTGACGACAGGACCTCTGAACCTGGCCTCCTCCATCTACACCTGCGAACTGCCCAGCCCAACCCGCCTGGGAATTGCTTCAGTCCTGCACCGGACCCTGTCCACGTTCTGCGGCCACTGCGTGGCCCTGGTCCAAGTTCTGTAGCTTAGGTCCTGGATCTATAGCCCGTCCGTCTGTGTGGAGCGGATCCCTCTCTCAATATGTGGGTGTCCCCGAGGTTTCTCACTTTTTTCCCACTGGGTTTTTGTGAATTTTTCCTTGCCGATGCAGGAGGGTCTGTTGGACAGTCAGTGTCTAACAAAAAGGACAGTGGTGGTTAAAGGACACTTTAAAGCTGCACTAACCGACTTTATTTTTGTATTCATTACGAAAATGCAATCCATATCCATGCAATGCATTGGGATATACGTCCTTTTGAAGAAAAAGTAGTGCAGATTTGTGCTGGCGTGTCATTTGATTATAGATTGAGTTTTTGAGCAACAAGGAAGAGAATGTGTTTCGGGTCTCGATTGTGACCAATCACAGCGGACCACAGGCCCCCGCTTTCTTGAGAAAAGCCACAGGTCTCTTGTTAGCACAGACAGCTGAGTTAGGTTAGCGGTAGAGGCTAACCTGAAACTTCCCGTGTCTTCGTTACTGGTTACTGCTTACACAGCGAAACAGCCATCCAAAAGAAAGTCTCGTCCTCAACAAGCTTTCCGGTTCTATCATTCTATGGCCACGACATCCACGATCAAATGTGCATCTATCCATGAGACGCTAGCTCTGTAAACAACATTGGGTGGGTGGGGGGGGGGGGGGGGGGGGGGAGAGCGAGGCCAGCGAAACCGCTGCTTCGAAATCTCAAAGTCAGTTAGTGCAGCTTTAACATTCTACAACATATATGGACATTTATCAAAATGTTTTCTATATTCTTTTATGTGTCTTAACTGTTGATTCTCTGATCTGTGTTGGTGATTTCAATGGTTTTGTTAAGTCCTCTGAGATGACTACTGTTGTGATTTAGGGCAAGAATAAATTGCATTGTATTGTGAATTTTAAAAAGATCTAAAAGAAGTCCCTGACTACTTTCACTGCACATGTGTTCTCTGTGATGCCCTCTACTACTATGGAAATTACAAGAAAGTTGCTGTCAAAGTGTGCAATATGGGTCCAAATTGCACTTTTTGAAATTCATTTAAAAAAAATCTGAAAGAGGTTTGCAACTACTTTCTTAGCTTGCAAGGGCAACACGGTGGCTGAGTGGATTTTACTCTCACTTCTCATCAAGAAGGTCCAGGGTCGAATCCTTGTCGGAACAGGACCTTTCTAAGTGGAGTTTACATGTTCTCCCGTGTCTGCGTAGGTTTCCCCTGTGTGCTCCGATTTCCCCTTCCACTTAAAATATGTACAATATTTCAGAAGACAGGGAGGCAACAAATCAGCTATGGAGGACAAGCTGTGGTCGTTCAGAGCTGTATAGCCCCATGAACTATAACTACGGTGACAGAAATGGAGGAGGGTTAGTGAGGAGGGTGTGTCTCGGGTAAGTTATTTTGACTTTTCACAATAGTTAATACTTCCCGCGCAAAATCTGTAATGTTATCTTTACAAACCCACAGATTAAATATTAAAGCTACACAGAGGAAACAGTCACGTTTTCATGGACAGAGTCCATGGAGACAGCAGCGATATTATATAACACGTGTTATCTGTATTACTATAAAATAGATTGTGTATATCCTTTATAATCCCATACTAAGACTGGAAATACTGTGTACTTATTTACATTTACTGTATATAGTAGGCTTATTATGAAGCACTTTTCATACATTGGTCTGATAAATATATGTATAGCATGATGATATAAAAGCACATTATACAGATGTTTATTTTGTCATTGATAAAAGACATTTGCAGATGGCAGTCTCACTTCCAAAACAACAGGTTTAAAGTGGTTAGCCATGCTTCTAAGTTGGTTATTTGTGTGAGCTTTACATGAGATTTACATTCTAAAGATTTTAAGAGCCACACCGAACAACAGCGGCTAACTGTTGGGTAAATCACAGACGGGTTAGAATTTGAGCTACATTTAGACCAAACCTAGCCTGGTCGTACAACACCAAGGTCTGGAGGTGCTCCATTGAGCTCCGTTAACAGGTGGGAGGGGTTAACTCCTTTTGCAGATTGAATCGATTGGATCTGAGTTTACCGTCACGTATGTAATGCACCCATAGACTGTATATATTAACGGACGTAGTCACGCCTATCTCCGCCGTTCTAAGTGATTTAAAATGGCTGCGGGGGCTGGAAAATGTGAAAAAACGCATCTGTGCATGCGTCAGCCGGCACGAGCCCCATTCATTTAAAATTCACCCCCCTCAGCATTGACACACATGTAGAACTGAGCTTTGGGGCAAGAGCCAACTTTTGGACCATCCTGTAAAGACGTTTTCGAGAGGTCAGCTAATGCTATATGTTAGCATTGGCTAATTCTTCATCCGGGTCCACCCCCATTGGCCCGGGGTGGTATTGCAAGCATGTCAGCGCCCGTCGTTTTGGCCACTTTTGAGCCGGTACCTGCCCCCAGTGAATGCACCCAAGTTAGTCGTTAGCATTTAGCATTTAGCTTAGGGGGCGACAGTAGCTCAGTTAGTAGAGCACTGGTGGACCCAATGGTTGTGGGTTCGAGCCCACCATGATCCATGTCATTTGCTCCCACTGATGTCTGCTGTCGTTGTGTCCCTGGGCTCTGATGGCCACCCCCCGACCCAGAAATGGAATAATAAAGGGGTTGAAAATGACATGACATAACCTAGCCATCTCTGTCGCTAACGGAGCCCGTGGGAAGTAGCGGCACAATTTTTGCCAGCAATTACATTTGCTCCGGCTTCAATTTCTTGATATAACCAGACCGGATTACTTTACTATCGCATTTTTCGTCATTGCCAAACTACAACCAGCCCGTTTGACGCAAACTCTTGACGTCATCCACAACTAACTACAACACCCGCCTCCCGCACTTGCTGATTGGTTGGATGGAATTCAACCGATTGTGTCACTAACACAGGCACCAGACCCAGACGTTACATGCAGGGAAATTATAATTGAGATGAGTGTACGGATGGCTAAGGCCAGGCTAGACCAAACCCAACCTGTGAGGAAAGATTGCCATACCTCGCTCGCACATCAACACGGCGTATAGTGAACCTCGGGCCTGAAGCGGACACCAGCAGGCCAACCACTCGTCTGCCCCACACACGACCCACCGCACGGCACGAACAGCCCGAAGCTCCAGACGTGTCCTCCTATGGCGTGCGCACCGGTTTTACGTTGGTGTAATTAACCGGCGCAGCTGGTAAACGGACAGCAAGGAAGCGGATGCATTCACGGACCGTAGGAAACCTATTAGGAACCTGCCTGGTTACACAAACTTATATATAATATATTCATGTTTTAATTAATCATCAGTCATAGAACACAGAGGGCGCTGCATCTCTGAAGACAAGGAGCAGTAGCATCAGGAGGAGCAACAGCAGCAAGAGGAGGAGCAAAAGCAGGAGGAGAAGCAACAGGAGCAGCGGGAGCAGCAGCAGAGTCCTGGGCGTCTGGCTCTGACACAAGTCTCTTCTACAGTGTGCACTTCATAGAGAAGAACCTGGAAATAAAAAACTAAAATAAGGCCCTGTCCACACGAAGTCAAGCTCAGGCCTAAACGCAAAAATACTTTATCAATCCAGTGTATCGTCCATACGAGGCCGGCGTTTTGGGGGGGTGTAAACGAACATTTTTGAAAGTAGGTCCCAGAGTGGAAAGATTTCAAAACTCCATATATGC